CTTCAGAAGTGCCTTGTGGTGGACTCAAACCACCAGACTTGTGGTTAGCAGCAAAGACACAAACAATCTGCGTTCAGGGACTCCCACCTTATCAACTGGCTGCCCTAGAATTCTGCCCTAAACTTTCCCTGCCTCTCTACACAGATGGCACCGTCTCTACCTTGCCCCGAGCCCCAGTCTTACACCTCCAATGCTTGTCTCCAACACATGGGACTTACTTCTCTAGTGCTGATACAAGAGATGAACCACAACTATTTGGTTTATCAGATCGTTGGGGGAAGGGGGTCTTTTACAGCTTCCATTCTATCTTTACAGACACGGACTCTGAGGGGACACAATCCCATCCGTGACAACACAGAGGTCCATCAGAAAGCGCCAACCACAAACATCTCTGCTGTTAGCTCCCTTTCATGGGTACATTTTTACACATGAACAAGAAATGTGAACTCACCCCCGCCCAGTGGCCATGAACCATGTGACTCTAGAGCCCTGGAGATGTGGCCAGTGCACATGGACATGAGCCATAAGTACTCGAGAACTTAGCACAAACACAAAAGGACTAAGAATTCTCAATAATTTTATGTAGATTGCATATTAAAATTATATCATGGTAGCATTGTTTTTAAAAAACATATTATGCATAATGATTTCTCTGCTTTTTTCATGTATTTGCTAATGTTCCTGGGTGATAAAAACTGAAGCTTCAAAGGTTGGAGTCCACCCAGAGGCTCCTCGGAAGAAAGTCCTGGCTATCTGCTCGCACAGAAGCAGTCACTTGACACACTGGGGGTCGTGGGAGTAGACTGCTTGGCTGATGTGGTTTTTCTAATGTGCTGTTTGTTCTACTGGAATCGACCCACAGGGGCTTTCAGAGGCAGCAGATGGCACAGGAGGCTAGTGCTGAGTTTGCTGTCCTGCGGAGCTACGGGTGGATTTGAACTCTATACATTTGGGATTGCAGTGCAGCTCCCTACCACTAGGCCACCAGAGTGCCTCCTACTGTGGCTTCTAGAAAAGGAAACCTTCCCATGCGCCTCGGCTTCCAGGGCCTAGAAGTCACCAGTCACCCCAAGTCAAGCCCTGCCCGGCGGGGAGCAGGGAGTGGGGAGCAGAGTCACTCACGTTGCCTCTGCGTCCCGATGCTCCGTCTCCGGGGGCTGGTGTGTGGTCACGTCTCCCCGAGCTTGCCACACGCGTGAACAGAGCTCCTGGTCCGGGGAGCTGGCATGAGAGTGGACAGAACTCCAGGGTCCAGGGGTCGCATCTCCGAGGGGCTGGCACGCGAGTGGACTGAGCCCCAGGTCCGGGGGGCTGGCACGCGCGTGGACAGAGGTCCGGGGGTCACGTCCCCCGGGGGCTGGCACGCACGTGGGCGGGGTCCCCCGGCTGACCGCCCACAGTGAAGCCCGAGGCCGGAAGCAGCGAGGAGGCGGCCCAGCCGGGGCGAGGACGCGCTTCCTGTCCGGAGGCCACCGGCCACGTCTGGCTGCTTGGGGACAAGAGTCCGGGGAGCAGGCGGTGACCACCCTGTTCACAGCTGCGCAGTGGGTGGCAGGAACTGTGCGCCAGGGTCTCCTCCGTCGCCAAGCCGGGGTCTCCCCACGAGTCAGGGTCTCCCCTAACCAGGATCTTCCCCCCCTCCCCCCCCACCCCTGAGCCAGGGTCTGCCTCCAACCCACTCCCGAGCCGGGGTCTCCCCATCCCTGAACTGGGATCTCCCCGAGCCAGGGTCTTCTCCCTACCCCCACCCCCGAGCTGGGGTCACCCCATCCCTGAATTGGCATCTCCCTGAGCCAGGGTCTCCCCCAGGCCAGGGTCTCCCCCAGGCCAGGGTCTCCCCCAGGCCAGGGTCTGCCTCCAACCCATTCCTGAGCTGGGGTCTCCCCATCCCTGAACTGGGATCTCGCCGAGCCAGGCTCTCCCCCAGGCCAGGGTCTCCCCTCCCCCCCCCAGCCGGGGTCTTCCCATCCCCCCAGGGTCTCTCGCCAGGGTCTCCCAGCAGCCCGGGTCTCCCCTCCCAGGTCCCCCCTGGTGGGGCAGATTGCCAAGCCTATCTTCTAAAGCACCTCTTTTTATGCTAGGAAAGCGGTTTTAACCTTGCCAAATTTATCAGTGAAAGAGTTTATGAAGACTTCTCCCCTCTGTATTCTATTCAAGGAGGGAGGTCCCTCCCTTTAGGGATGTTAACTTTCTACTAAATCTCTCTTTACTATTTTAACTTTTTTTTTTTTAAGTGTTTCTGAAGAGGGAAGACAGCACTTAACCCCTCCTTAGGGAGCTCCAGCGGCACAGTCCATGGGGAGTTGCACCCTCTCCTGCGGTTCGAATCCACCATCAGCACTACAGGAGAGCTGGGCCCATCTTCTCCCACGGGAGGATTTCCAGCCCTGGAAATCCAACGGAGGTCAGCTGTGAGTTCACACTGGACAGCACCATGTTCATTCATGAGCACCATGGGATTTGGCCATGACCTCTGTAAATGGCATTTCACATTCATTCTAAAATAAAGTTTAAAAATTACTTTCTTATTTAGAAATCTTTGCTCGCTCAGCATTAGCTGGCAAAATCTATTGTGGTTTGGGTTTTTTTTAGTGGAAAAAAGTGTTTTAACTACTAAGATTTAACTCTTTATCAGAAACTCATCCCCATCAAGTGGGCACTGACTTATAGCTGACCCCCCACTGCATTTGGGGGCTGTGAACCACCCTGCAGGAGACGCCTGTCTTTCTCCCTTGAAGCTCCTGGTGGCTTCAAATTTCCAGATGGCTGCAGCCTTTGGATTAAGTCTCTGCTGCCTAGACTTAAAATCTGACTGCAGTAGACAATCTATATTTTTATCCAATTTAAACCCTAAGAAACTGTCGGAAGGTAAAGGCAATGATACACAGCTCAACGTTGGTAGTAACTGATGGAGAAACGCCTATCGCAGTACTCCTGTCTCCTTTGTCATCAGCTGCCATTAGGTCTCTGAAGGGCCCTGGCCCTGCCCCTCCCCATGGTCACCTGGGGATTTGACCACTGTGATGAGAAGACTTCTCATTGGCTGGTTGTCCTAAGCATGCCAGGCCTTTCTTCCTCAGCCTCCCAGCTCTGCTGGAACCTGTTCTGTCAGGGCAGCACGCACGCTCTCCTGACAGATGGGAACCCATACGCTGAGGTGCACTGCCCAGGCTCACGCTTGGATCTCTGCGTGGAAAGTGAGGATCCCCACCACTGAACCTCACTTAATAAGCAAATGTGTTAATACAAATTTGGGTTCTTTTTTTCTAGTCTCAGAGGATAGTAGGCAAAAATGGACTATCTTGCCAAAATTCCTGAACCCCCAACTTCTAAAGCTAGCCAAATCTGGATTCTTTGGGGGGTGTGACCTATAGGATTGAAATTATGCTTCTCTTACAGGAAGTGAAAGTGAAGAGAAATGGACATTACAATTACAGGCTTCAAGGTTGAACAGGTAAAACGCTATTTTCCGTCAGCTGCCTGGTTTTGTATCAACACAACCAGTATTCTCTCTCCAAATAATATGAACAGCAAACCACCACTTCCTCAAATGACTGAGAAATTTTTTTTAAATTTTTTTTTATTATTATTTTTTATTATTTTGTGTGCATGTACCGTCAAATCAGATCTGACTGGTACAGGAGAATATTGCGCCTCCTTCTCCGGCAGAGCATCTGGTGGATTCGAACCGTGTTCCTCTGGGATTGCAGTGCAGCTTCTTGCCACTAGGCCACCAGAGCTCCCCCTGACTGAGAGTTTTAATCAAACAGGGTTGTGAGTGTATGAGAGATGATTCTGTTCTAAAAGGTCCAAGTCATGTGGCAGAAATGACATGAAATAAATAAAAGAATTTCCATTTCAAAGTAGAAAAGAAATCCTGACTTCCTTCAACAGTGCAGAAGTAGTCACACCGAGGCAGGATGGGGCATGTAACCTTCTCACCACTACTCAGTGAAAACATTCGTGGCCACGGGTGGAAAGCTCACAAGATCTGCTGACCTACAGGACATGGTTTGTTGAGTCTTGGCATTTCAACCCACTTCCCCACGACAGTCTGTGAGGGTGTCCACTGTCTGACACATCATCACCGCATCGAGGACACTCACACCCTACACTCTCCCCCAAACCCATTCAGATAAACACTTCACAATGCAAAGAAGAAAGATACTGTTAGAGGAATAAACTGAAAACCAGCTGCAAGTCTATGGACAAAGTAAAACTCTCACCTAAACCCACTCACAGCCGCTGACTCCCTTCCCCCTCACAGGACCCTCCCTAGGGTTTCTGAGCTGGGGATCTGTGTGGAAGGATTCTTCAATGGTGGAGCTGCTGGTGGATTTGAACTGCTGATTTACCAGTACTGTACTTTATGCACTATATCACCAGCACATAAACCTAAGTCCATTATAACAAATTATTGGCAAAACCCCTGCCAAATGACTATGTATTTGCTATATATGAGCACTGCTCCTTCCCAGACGTTGCTGTGAACCTCTATTAAGTTCACATTTAAATACTCTGACAGTCAAGTCTGGGAAGTGAAATGCTTCTTTCAGATACGACTGACAACGGACAATAAAAAAGGAAGTGAGGGAGCCCTGGGAGGAGAGGTGGCAGAGGAGTGGACAGAGACCGGGAGACCACACAAGCGCACTTGGTGACCTGGCCTGACCTGAGCGTCACTTCTAAAAAGTGAGCCTCACGCCCTTCCCTGGAAACCAGGCCAGCTGGCGATCATTCCCTGGGCATTTCTGTAGTATTCCCTTTCTTAGCAGGGACGGTTCCAGAAGCCTACTGGAGAGGAAGTGACGTGCTGTCCCAGGCCGGTCTCCTAGGACAGAAGACGAGGCATGTGGCCTCATTCAGGGTCCCCGAGGGCTCTGGCGGGCAGCTCTGACAGGGCACTGCCCTACCCACATGCTGTCCTCCCAGGAGACGCTCCATGAAATGAAGGCAGGATACGCAAGCATTTTATTCTCATCCCTCCTATTAGCAGGTCCTTATTTTTGGAGAAGCGCGAGGCATTTCGTTATCCACTCTTTCCACTCCCTAAAGGCGTCCACCCGGTCGGGCAAATGCACGCTGTCTTCACGGCTAGGCTTCGGCATCACGCGGGGCAGGCCAGTGGATTCCTCATCAAGCCACCTCAACAGCGCCTGGCAAAGAGAAAACGCCCGTGCGTCAGGCACGAGAACACCAGCGGCTTCCAGACAAGGTCCTCTGAGCCAGTCAGCTGTTGACCTGTTAGTGCAGAAGGTGTGGCATTTGACAGAGTAGTGACTGGGACAGCACGAGGACGCGCCACAGAATGAAGGTGGAGATCGAAACACCAACTGCAGTTAGTGACCAGGTACAGGCAAAAGAACGCACCGGAGAAAAGATCCGACGGAACAGACGCCTGTCGTGCTGGCTTGCAGGGGAGGTAGGAGCACAGGGCAGCTACCTCGCACTGGACACAGGGACTCTCCCTCCTCCTTTTCCAGGTAACCATCTCTCCCCCGACTAAGCACCAAACTTCCAGTCCCACGTTTGGAAGACAAATCCCCTCCACAGTGTCAGGATACAGAGGACTTTGCCACATAACGGGCCCTCGAGGCAAAGCTCTCTTGTCCTCAGCAGATGGGAAACGTAGGACCATCTTCCCTCATCTCGCTGGACTATGAGACCTCGCCTGTCCTATACCGTCCTCACTGTCCACCACGCTCGGGGCAAACTTCCGACCTGTTACTCACAGGGTCTCTGTGAACTGTCACCAACATGACGACACCTAACAACAGACGAGGAAGCACAGATGAGCACATTGAAGTTTGTAAAAAAAAAGTCTTTCTGGTCCACTCTGTGGCAGAAATGCCTTCTGCACAAACATCAATGCAAGCCTGAATTGGAAGAACAATTCCTTCCACCTAAGCCATGGCTTATCAGTTATAAATACCACCTTGGGCAACAGTCTTCAAGAGAGCCTAGATGAGCTCATACAGTCTCAACAGATCACCCCCCAACTTGCTCTTCAAGATCTCCTTCAGTTTGAAAAGGCTATCAATTCCACATGGGCTCAGAGAGTCAGGAACAGAGTCAATTCCAGGGGCTCTTGAAATATGTACAGATTCTGCGATAGGGTGTGGACTTTTGTTTGAATGATGTTGAATTCAGAGAGGTGACAGAGCTTATTAAAGTGGATAAAGTGAAAACTGTAGCCTGTGATGGTAAAAACACTGCTTCCAATACTACAGAATGAGCGGGGGCTGGGGGAATGGCTTCTTTATGCCATCCCCTGTTATTACTCTTGGCTTTTTGAAGAGAAACTTAGAAGAGACTTTTTTAATTTATTCTAGCAATGCAGAAATGACTCCACTGTGCTGTCTGAGTCCAGCTGAAAGCTAGTAACTCCGTAGCTGCTTCTATTCACTTACTATGCAGCATGAAGAAACCCAATTTTTTTTATAACAAATCAAAAGTTTTTACCTTCCTATAAATATTCTTTAATAAATGAATTTTAAGACATAAAAAAAGGTCTTTCTTTGAACGTGCTTTTTCTTGTCTTTTGAACCACAGTTTCCTGCTTATTGCACAAATTTCTTCGGGTCAATGACAGACCTGACAGAAATGACAGCTTGCTCCTCAGAGGACCAGCCCCTCCTCCCCTGTCCCCTCTTCCCTGCCCCACTCACCTTGTATCTCTCCGTGATGCTGAAGCCGATGGCACACTGCAGTTTGCGTAGGCAGATGGGGCAGAGGTACGGAGGGCGCCGGTCAGCTTCGTCCATGTGGTTGGAGCCTTGCATCAGACACGAGAGCCACTGGCAGTGTCTCATTCCAAAGATGTGTCCGATCTCGTGGGCCAGCGTCTGCAGGGCATTCACGCAGAGGCTTAAACAAGCTACCCATCCATCCTCTTTGCTTCCTGCTTCGCCAAGAAGCCACCGACTGACCAGACAGGAGTCCCTGCCTTGGCAGCTTCACGCAGACTCAGTCCCGCCTCTCCCACAAGCCTTCTTAACTCTTCTCAAGCCCTTAACTCCTCTCCCTGGGCCAAGGCTCCCCAACTGCAGCTCTACTGTCAGGTTGGACAGCACGAATCTTTGCTGTGGAGGGTTGTTCTAGGCATTGCCAGATACTTACCAGCATCCCTCGCTGCTTATTTTCTGGATGCCAGTAGAACCCCTCCCCAGCCAAGACAACTAAAAACATCTCCAGACCCTGTCAAGTGGCCCCCGACAAAGCAGCCCCCCTGGCTGTGAGCAGCGGCTGTGGGATGGAGACATGTGTTACACCTTGTGTTGTTTTTAACACGCACACCATGTGAGGCGATGCAGACGCGTGGGGCCCGTGGGTACACTCTGCATTTCTAAGAGCAGGGCTTCTCAACCCCCAGCAAACAATGCTGGCGAGGGCAGAGCACACACGTCCATGCCCGTGGGAGACGGGAAAACAAGGAGACAGTCCTCCCACAGAGCAAATATGGGTGGACACATCAGAAAATGAGGACAGAGCTGCAGTCTGAGATCCCAAACGGAAGAGGCTCGAGGCCAGGAAAGGGGCCCATTCCCTGAAAAGGCCTGGCAGGTTCTCCAAAGACCTCAGGAGGGTGATCATGGCAGTGGTGTCCCGGCAGGGAACTCGCTGAACTGATGCCAGCACTCAGCATCACATATAAAGGTACACACATACGTGTGTGTACACACACACACACACACACACGCGCGCGCGCGCGCGCCTCACTTACTAGGCCATATATTTTGGGAATAAAGACAGTATCTTAATCGTTTTTATATCCCTAGCGTTCAGCGCAATGCCTGAGGGCGGGAGGGGACCACAGAAAGAAAAAACAAACAGGCGCCAAACAAACGCATTTCTCATCCGTCCCAGAGACTCTGCAGAGTTGTTCCTCGACCACCCAGGGGACAGCCCTCTCCTTGCAGGAAGCTCTTTAGGATGGGAACACCCCTCTTCCTTTATTTGTACCCCCAGAGACTGGGAGACTTTAACTACAGCAGGGGTCAGCAAGCTGCCACCTTCACTCCAACCCGCCCACCCCTGCATGCAAAGAAGGATTTTCACATTTTTAAATGTTTGGGGGTATGTGTGGAAAGGTCAAATGGATATTTTAGGGCACGTGAAAATGATGCAAAATTCTAATTTCATTGTCCACAAGGTCTCATTAAAGCCCAGCCACGCTCATTTGTCTAAGTATTGTCTCTGGCGGCTTTCACGCCCCAAGAGCCAGGCAAAGTGCCTGCAACGGAGACAGCTGGCCCACAGACGCCAAGAGCTTTAACCATATGACTCTTTCCACCAGTCAGACCCAAAATGTTCACTATCAGACCCTTTACAAGACAAGTATGTCAACCCTCAATTTAGAAGACAAAATGAAAGAAACTATCAAAGTAAAAGACTGTCTAATGTGTCAAAAGCAAAAAAATTATAAAATTTTATACTAAGTGCATAACAAACAGTTGAAAACTTCTTCAGAAGACCAGAAACGCCTCGATGTCACCGAGTTGTGGTGCTGGTGGAGACTCCTGGGAATCCCATGTTGTTGTTATTGTTGTTGTTATGTGCCATTGAGTTGCTTGTGACTCATAGCGACCATATGTACAACAGCCCTAAACCCTGTTTTATCCTGTGCCAGTCGTACTGTCTCCGACACACCCATCCTGATTACCCCAGTCACTTAATCAATCCACCTCATAGAGGGTCCTACCCTCCTACGCCGTCCCTCCACCCTCCCAGGCATGATGTCCCTCTCCAAGGACCTGTTCCCCCTTACAACACGTCCAAAGTATGTCAGACGAAGCCCCAGAATCCTTGCCTCCAATGAGCTACCTGGTGTAAACCTCTCCAGGATGAATCTATTTTCTTGGCAGTCCGTGGTACATTCAATAGTCTTCTCCAGCACCACAGCTCAAAGGCATCAATTCTCCTTCTATCCTCTCTAGTCACTGTCCAACTCTCTGGTGCATAACAAGTGATAGCAAAGACCATGGCCTGTATCAGACACACCTTAGTCTCCAAAGAGACACCATTGCTCTCCAGCACTTTGGAGAGGTCCCTAAGAGAAGACTTTCCCATCTCAACACATTTTTTTATTTCCTGGCTACTGATGCCAAGAGTGTTAGACAGCCAAAAGAACAAACACATCTGTCTCAAAAAAAGTGCAACAACAAGAGTGCTGCTCTGAGGCAAGGCGGGTAACCCTTCCTCTCATGTGCTAGGGAGGCCAGTCCCTGGAACAAGACCTCATGCCGGGAAAGGGCGAGGTTCAGTGAACGAGAGGAAGACCTCCCACAACATGGACTAACACACTGGCTACAGCAGTGGGCTACTGGACGGCATGGGACACGCCACGGTTCAGCTCTGTGGTTCACAGGGTCACGAGTCTGTCCCGGACCATCCTCAGGGTCTTTTGTCCACGGTATGGACTAACTGTGCAGACCAGACTCCTGGAGGCGCAACAATGCTGAGGCTGTCGGTCTAGCAGGGGCCGCGTGTAACAGGCAGCCAACCAGCCTGCATTGTACAAATTTCAGTAGTAAGGTGTCCATGGAACTCTATTTCAATACTTTCAGTCCTGCAACAGCCACCAAAAGTATAAAAATAACAGAATTCATTTATAATATTATCTTGTGGACTGTTGATATGCAATGCAGGGGATTAAAGTCTCTTTAGGGTGAAAAAAAAAAGTGCTTGTAGGATTTTTTTTTTTTTAAACAACTCACCTTACAGGATCGGAGCAGTAAAATACTAGTGATTTCAGGGATGTAATAGTTATCAAAAACCGAATATTCGCATGACGATGATTTCTCCAGCTTCTTCACTTTGCCCCCGTAGTGTGAGCTGTAAAAATCACTGCCGTACCTGGCGAAGCTGAATATCCCCACACCTGCCGGGACAGGAGAGGAGGCAATGAGAGCAAAGTTCCTGACAGAAAAGACCCAGAGCGCACTGCAGCCTCAGGACACACCCGTCTACGGGCTGCACCGCCCAGTAAGGCTCGTGTTTGCGGCCAGAGAGGAGGCCCCACGACACGCACCCCCAACCAAATCCCATTCTCTGCTTTCTGCTTTGCCCTGGCCTGTAACACTCGATGACTCTGAGGTCAAATTCTTCAGAAATGAGAAGTTCCAGAGAGTTGGGGATTTTTTTCCCCCTCCCACAAAAGAAATCTTCAAGCAGTTCTGTTCTAAAGTCTAGCCATGGCTAAAGGCCATGGACTGGGAGATTGCACTGTTTCGATCAGACCGGGAAGCCTGGCCGTTATTTCTTTGAGGTTTGCTCACCACTTATCCCCTCTCTCCTTCCAGGACCCTCTACAAAGATCCTTCTTAGAGCACTTAGCAGGACAAACAGGGCACTTCCAGGTCTTCTGGTGTCATGGAAGCTGAGGTCCTCGAGGTCCACAGTGGCTAAGCATGAACTATGGCTACACATCTTTTTTTTTTTAATTTTTATTTTATTTCTCTTGTTGTGTACCATCAAATCAGATCCAGCTGGCACAGGAGGAGATTTCTCCTCCTTCTCCAGCAGAGCATCTGGTGGATTTGAACTGTGTGCCTTCGGGATTACAGTACAGCTTCTTGCTACTAGGCCACCAGAGCTCTGACCACATATCTTTTACATCACAATTTTTAATTACATGTTCCAGTTGCTTTTTCTGTGTACAAATGCATCTAGCTGTCTTCTGAGTGCCCAGCACTATCGTTTATTCAAAAGCAGCACAGCTGTTATCTTCCGGGGCAGTATTTTCAAACTGACCCATTAGTGAATTGGAAAATCAACTAAGGATCCTGGGTAGCATAGTGGTTAAGCATTCAGGTGCTAACTAAAAAGTTGGTGGTTCAAACTCGCCAGCAGCTCTGCAGGAGAAAGACGTGGCGGCCAACTTCTGGAAAGAAACAGCCTGGGATATCCTACGCTGCAGGCCCACTCTGCCCTCGAAGTTGCCGTTAAATCAGAAGAGACTCAATGGCAACAGGTCTGGTTTTAGTTTTTAATTCACAGTCTCAAACCTTGTGGAGTAAAGCTGAATTAATCTCATTTCTCACTCCCCTGACCTAAGCTGCACTTTAGGAAGAGACCAAGACTCTTCTATGTGCAAAGACACTGCTACATCTCATTCTGTCTGTCCACATAAACGCTGCTTAATGAAGCAGCACTGGCTACAGAACATTCTGTTGCACAAAGAACTAGAAACAAACAGCACCTCCCTCCTTCCACCAAGTAACACTGGGCCTCGGTGGACAGACGCAAGCTCAGGATGGAGAAGATGCCTGAGAAGTGAGGAAAGCCTTTCGGATGCGCCCTCCTCCCCGCTCTCTCTCCCCACCCTCCCCTCTCTCAAGCACAACTCCGTTTGTGGCTGATACCTATTGGCCAGAATAAACACGCCTGTAGTTGACTTCCTGTGTTACACTGAGAGCAATACCAACCACCTCTACAAACCTGACAAATGCAGTCTGCATGCACAACTCATTCCACAGCAGAAGGGCCTGCTTTATAGCTCGGCCTCTATCCAGGACCCTCTATGGAGAGTCTTCTCAGAGCACTGAGGAGGACGAGCGGGGCACTTCCAGGTCTCCTGGTCTCACAGTCATGGAAGCTGAGGTCCGCAAGGTCCACGGCTGCTCAGCATGAACTGTGGCCACGCATCTTTCACATCCCAATTTTTAAGTACATGTTCAAATGTAATTCTTACTTAGGCACTTTTATTTAGTCTTGTGTCTGTGGCTTTTTTAAAGTAATTAAAACATTGTTCTGCTTATATAATAATATACAAATTATCTAGAAGTAAGTTTGTCCAAGCTAACTTGACCCAAAAAGAATAATCTTTAGCCCTCTCTTGGAAAGTGGAGGCTGGTATTTTTAACGAGGAAAAGTCAGTGAAGAAAAAAACTCAGGAAGAAAACTCAATCTATTTATAGACCTCAAGAGCCCTCCTCTGGCCAAACAAGGCTGGGTACATTTTACTACCTTCTCCAAGTGAGCCCACAAATTGATTATTTTCTATAGAAATAAAACACCCATTATAAAGTGCCACCCTATGTAAGCACAGAGAAAACAAGGTCACGCATGGTAAGGTCCTGTGTTATCACCTGGTAGATCAATCCTGCTATCTTATACCTTTTTTTTAAGTTTTACAATATTTAAGAGATGCTTACTTTAAGAGTCTCATGCTCTACCAACTGGGCTAGCCAGGCAGGAGATGCTTACTTTAAAAGGGAAGGATGCCTGTATAACCTATTCTGGGTTCTACTCAGATGCACAAGAGAAAATTCTAAATATCTAGATGAAAGAAAATTTTCCTAAAATGATTTTTAATGCTTCCATCTCTGTCAGCATAAGAATAAAAAGATGAACCTACTCATTAAAACAAGTAAGTTCATCCTGGAGAGAGTTAAACTGGAGGCAAGGACTCTGAGGCTTCATCTGACATACTTTGGACATGCTGTAAGGAGAGACCGGTCCTTGGAGAGGGACATCATGTTTGGGAGGGTGGAGGGACAGCGCAGGAGGGGAAGGCCTTCTATGAGGTGGATTGATTCAGTGACTGGGGTAATCGGGGTGGGTGTGTCAGAGACAGTGCGACTGGCACAGGATAGAGTAAGGTTTAGGGCTGTTGTACACAGGGTCGCTATGAGTTGCAAGCAACTTGATGGCACATAACAAAACAACCATTAAAAAGCTAGCTCAGGTCACAAAACTCAAGCAGACAGCAGCGAGCCACGCCTTGGAGAAAGCGTATGTACAGGGTCTAGACAGACCATGCGCACACAGAGAACTGAAGATGAAGAGTGGGTGATGAGCTCTTGTGGAGAGAAGCCTGCCAGAGGTCCCCTTGCTCTCACACACACCTTAAGGCTAACAGGACTTACAGACAGATCATGACCTGTCTAGTGTCTGCTGCTCATTCTCTCCTTGCAGTGAGGTGCTGCGTGCCAGCTGGGTGGACTCAGGACTGCTCTACAGGCCAGAGCAGAACTGGCCAGCATGGTTTCCTAAGCCGTAATCTTCACAGGAGCCGAGGAGAGCATCAGGTTTTCTCCTCCCTCCCATGGAGCAAAAACCCTCAACCTTATGAGGTTTTCCGTCAATTCCAACAACTAAGAAATAGTGAGAAGAGTTAGGACCTCAGAAGGCTTTTAGGACCAGATAGTAGGCTCTTGTGTCCAGGAGAAAATGAATATACTTACCAGTAATGTTAATGCTCACCCACAGCTCCTCTGGGAGGATCTAAATCTAAATCGTTGAAGCGTCCTCCTTTGTTTCCAGCTGGGAGCTGGGGCCTGTCAGTCCTGTCAGCCACGAGGACCTGATGTGGGCCACCCTTGGCCAAGTGTCCTTCAGAGCCACACTTAAAACAAGTGAGTGGGAGCTAGCTAAGAGAATACACCATCCCCTTTTCCTTATATATCAGAGTGAAATCTCTCTCAGGGAGGAGTGATAGGGAATGGCAAAGGACACAGTGACAAAGGAGATTAATCAGAACTGGCTTTGACAAGCACTGTGGCAACTGGACAATTAAAACAGGCTTTCAAGGGGGGGAACAGAAGAATGAACTGGGGAGGAGGGTAGAGAAAATAGTGCAACAACGAATGAATGAAAACCCCAAATCTCTGTAAATGTTCATTAAAATTAATAAAATTTAATTTTAAAAAAAAACAACAAAAAACCAAGACACAAAAAACCCTCAACCTCTCTGCTAGTAACTGAGAGTGCCACCAGTCCACCACCAGAGCTCTGGAAAAGACTAGTGGGCCCACTCTTGACTCACCGGTCTTTTCTTACTTTGAGTCTGTCCTAGATCCGAGGCATGAGAGTAGAAAAAGAGGAGTAAAAATGGGGAAGCGGGGCAAAGAGGAGAAGGTGGGGAACTAATAAATCATTATTTGCTTATGGATGCTTTCCTGACTCTACTATCACCACACAAGGTTCCTAATTAGGTAAAGTTTATTGGATCCCTAAACCAAAGACTGAACCTGACTTTGTAGGTTAAAAAAAAGTATGTTATAAACTGTGGGCTGAGAGTGATTTCTAAATCAATCACTTGTTATTTCAGTGATGCCAAATGACTACATAAAATCAACAATTGAAAAATAACGAGGAAGATGTTCCCCTGTTAAAAATAGTTCAAATTCCTGCAAGTACTGTGTTTAACTTCAAAAACCACCTATATGAGACCAAAAGGTTAACAATTACTTAAAGGAACTGAGAAGAGAAAGGGACAGGGAAACTAGAGCACTGAAAGCAGAACCACCCAAATGCAACTAAAGAGAATGCTGGATAACATCATTAATGTTACTAAACATTGTGTACAGAAATTTGTCAGATTGGCTTGATCCGCTTTCACCAAACGTATAAATGTGCACACACACACACACACACACACCCACCCCAAAATACCATCTGTCAAAGAGGCTTGTCCGAAGACAAAATTCCAGGAGTCTCTTGGGTAAAGATCAATCATTGTTATCCCCACAACACAGAAGGCATTTCCTGGTTTCTTCCTTTTCAGGAACTTCAGGATGTCTCCTGTTTAAAAAGAAATGCATGCATGTATTTATACATTATATATACATTATTACATGTATTAATACATTATATATACATTACATGTATTTATACATTATATATACATTATTACATGTATTTATACATCATATATACATTATTACATGTATTTATACATTATTGCTATTAAGTGTTGTCCAGTCAGCTCCAATTCACAGTGACCACCTACAACAGAACAAACTCTGTCCGATCCTGCTTCAGACTCAGATTCTCTGTTGAGCTTATACCAGTCCATCTAATTGAAGGTCTTCCTCTCTTAAACTGACTGTCTCTTTTCTAAGAATTATATCCTTTTCCAGGGACTGGTCTCACATCGCTTGCTTCTAAGAAGCACCCTGCAGAAGGTCAAGGACTGTAGTCCTCAATATGGATTGAAGCTCAATATAAAGGAGACAAAGATTCTCACCACTGGGTCAACTGGCAGCACCATGATAGATGGAGAAGAGATTGAGGTTGTTAACAATTACAGAAATCAAACGAAGAATTGCACTCAGAAAATCTGCTGTCAGGGACCACTCCAGAGTACTGAGAATCAATGATGTCATTCTAGAGACTAAGGAATTCTTCATCCAGGCCATGGTCTTTGTAATTACTTGCTATGCATCAGAGAGTTGGACAATAACTAAAGATGACAGAAGAAGAATAGATGCCTTGAGTTGTGGTGCAGGAGAAGAGTCTTGAACATACCATGGACTGCCAAGAAAACCAGTAAGTCTATCTTGTAGAGGGAGAGACCAAGTTTCTCCTTGGAGGCTAGGACTTTGAAGCTCTGGCTCACATACTCTGGGCATGTGGCCAGGAGAAACTGGTCCTTGGAGAAGCATATCATGCTCAGAAGGGTGGGTGTGTCAGACTCAGTGAGACTGACTCAGTACAGGGCAGGCTTCAGAGCTGCTGTACATAAGGTCACTATGAGTTGCAGGCAACTCAACGGCACATAAGAACAACAAGAAGCACTCTGGCTGTACTTTTTCCAAGATAGATTTGTTTACTCTTTTGGTATTCCATAGTCAATACTCTTAGTCTACACTATAATTCAAAGGCATCGATTCTTTTCTGGTCTTCTTTATTCACTGTCTAACTTTCACATGTATATGAAATTCAAAAAGCTTCAAATTCATTCCATCAAGTCAGAACAGACTCCCAGCTGATCCTCCATTAGCGTTCAGGACTATAAATTGCACAGGAGGAGATTTCTAATCTTTCTTCCAACATGCCTGTGAAAGCAACTGAAAATACCATGGCTTGTGTCCAACACACTTCAGTCTTCAAGTAGCATCCTCAGTCCTTAGCACTTTGAAGACATCCTGGACAGCAGATCTGCCTGATGCAATAAACCTCGATTTCTTCACAGTTGCTTCTAAAGGTGCTGATTATGGATCCAAGTCAAGTAAGATCATTGACGAGGTCAGTCTTTTCTCCATTTATCATGATGTTGCCTCCTGGTCCCATTATGAGGATTAATGTTTTCTTTATGTTGAGGTATGATCCGAACCAAGGGCTTTAGTCTTTGATTTTTTTCAGGAAATTGCTCAAGTTCTCTTCACTCTCCCAAGGTGAGGTTGTGTTGCCTGCCTCCTGCAGGCTGTTGCTATCTCCTCACCTGTTATGCAAACTGAAACACTAACTCACCTGCATGAATTTGTAGATTTTGGGTGTTCTCATTGACTCTGAAGGAACATCTTGTCGCAGAAACAGGAATGGGTTCTAGGAGTTTTACTGACAAACCATAGAAAAATGCTTCACAGTAGCTCTTAAGCCATTTGATATATTCTTCACTGACAATTCTGGTGTTCCCTAGAGAGCCTGTAATGTCAAAGAAAGGTTAAAACAGACCTTAGGGTAGTTAATATACTCAGTTTGTGCACTTTCATTCTAACTTTATCCTATTACCAATTAATCCATCATCCATGGATGTTACTGTGAACTAAACAGAAACAAAACAGCCTCCTTTAAGTCTGCCGTCATTGCAATGAATGTAAAAAATGGCCATCAAGGGGAGCTCTGGTGGCCTAGTGGCAAGAAGTTGCACTGCAATCCCAGAGGCACACGGTTTGAATCCACCAGATGCTCTGCCGGGGAAGGAGGGACAATCTCCTCCTGTACCAGTCAGATCTGATTTGACGGTACACGCACACACACAAATAATAAAATTTAAAAAAAACAAAGGCCATCAAGTATAGTAAGACAAGACCAAGAAAACTGCCCACTTGAATCCAAACATCAGTCCAAATTCTCCCCAACAACAGTGTGTGTCACAGCAACACCAAAGCACAATCAGGATATTTATTACCAATAGACTGTATATAAATAGTGTGTTTCTCTGTAGATGGTATCTTTCTTTTAGGATCATTGAAAAACTGCTCAAAGTCTTGGGGGTTCTCAGGATGGGAGGCAATCCAATCTGATTCCGAGTGCAAGGTAATGGGTTCAAAGAGAGTCCCGCTGGGTTGAAAGGCTTCGTTCATGAGGCGCCTTTCAGAGGCACTGAAGCGCTCGTACTGGGACACAAGCTCTGGGGACTTTGAAATGAGAGCCGTTTTCAGGGTCTGTTCAGAGTGCCGTAGGGTTTTCATCTACCAAAAAGACACAAATCAAATATCAAATGAGCATCCACCTCCACGCCGGTATCCTTAATCTAGGGAGCTCTGGTGGCTGAGGGGTAAGAATTTGAACTGCCAACCCTAATACGGGCAATCTCCTCACATGGGATTTAAAGTCTCTGAAAACTCTCTGGAGAATCAACTACGAGCTGGTTCCAACTTGACAGCAAAGGCCGCCCCCCGTAGCCTTTATACCCCGGCCCTTTCATCAACGCAAGCACCAAATCCACAGCCATTGGACTGATTGCTGCGCTCGGCAAACCCTTGTGTTCCAGAGAACTGCTCCCCCGGACTCTCCTAGCTGCAGTCTTTTTACAGAAGCCAGCTGCAGAATCCACTGCTGAGGAAATTCAAATTGCCAACCTTTCAATTGTTCTCCCTCTTCTCATTGCTCTCAAGTTAAGAACTGACGCCTAGCTGACCCTCCAGCAGATTCCCAAGGCAAGAGACTGTCGATCTTTCTCCTGAGAAGCTACTAGAGTGAAACTGACAGAGAGGCGTGGCCTTAGGGTTGGCGATCACATTCCCTGTGGACTCTACTATCACGAGTTCCCTTTAGATTGATTGTTGTTGTTATGAACTGCTGAGTCAGAACTGACCCATAGCTGACCTTCCAGAGGGTTTCAGAGGCTGTAAACCACACCGGAGTTGATCATCCACCTTTCTCCTGCAGAACAGCTAGTGGATTTGATTTGAACTGTGTACCTTGGCATTGGCAGGGCAAATCCTTACCACTATGCCATCAGAGTTCCCTTTAGATTGACAGTCAAGTACATATAACTCTAACTATCTGCCCTCCATTTATAGATATATAAATAACATCTGCCCAGAATAGAAAATAAATTACTGAATGCTTTCTGGTTTTCCCATTTTAGATAAATTTCATGGGGAGATTGTCTGAGAAACTGAAAAGAAACTCAGGATACTCGTCCCCTGTTTCACACGTAACTTACTCCCTCAATAAAATCTAGTGGTGACTGTCACAGCATGGCCTGATGCCCACTATTTGTCATTTAGATAACAATTACCACCTTATTATGAACTGGCTCAAGAAGATCAAATAAAAAATACCCTCTTCAATGTGACTGTATACTGTATAGCAAACAAAATTAAAACCACAGGAAGTTTTGACATTTCTATGCATGCACTGCAGGCCGGTAAGATACAACTCAGCCACTGAAGTTTAATGCTTCAAAATCATGTCAACAGGGGACAAAAGCCAGACTCACAATGGCAAGCGTCTTCCATTCATGAAGGGTTCCTATGCTGAAAAACGTTCATCCCATCCTTGGAATAACTGCTCTACATAGAGGCTTTCTAAATCAGAAAGAAAAAAGGGGGAAAATTAACATCTCTGTATCCTATCACAGTCTCTATCGAGATTTTTATGATAGACAATTGGTGAGAATCTTAAACTAATAGTTATTCTGACTAAACACCTGTATGCTAGGGTTCAAGGAGTGAATCTCAGACCAGAGTAGGAATAGCAAGTGACTCATTCTGGCCGATCCCTGCAGTCAAAGTTTAGATACAAACACTGGATTATCCTTCCTACACAACTGGGTGAAATGTCTTCTCATATAGAAATCAGAAAGCAAACTGTGTCCTCTTGAATGCTACTTACCTTTAGAAAACAAGGCCTCGTCGACGTTTTTACCTTGCAAGCACTGGCATGTCTGGGCCGTGGAAATGGTGTTGGGGTGCCCTCACCCTAATGTAAACACAGCAGGGTTGGGAGGTCAGGTGGAGGGGGGAAAGGGAAGATGGGCAGGTGGGTAGACAGGTTCAGTTCAGTAGGCCTGAGATCAACACTGTTTCAGCGCTAAAACAGAACATTCTTGGAGAAATCAGAAGGCGTTGATCACCCTGGCAGGTTTGCCCATAACAATGTGCACGCTGGGCTCAGATCCAGCAGAAGTGACCCTGGCGATGGCTGGGGTGTCAAGGGGGCGTCCTCGGAACTCCCACCTCGCCTTTGCTCCTCCAGGAGCGAAGTGTCCTGGAGGACTGGCCCCCTGACACAGCCCAGCGTCCCCTGCCTCATCCACCCCTCCTACCATCCACTGTCCCCACCTTCTACTGCGGGACCGCTCAGCCCAGGAAAGCCCGCCTGCTCTGACCCCGCCCCAACCCTGCCCAGTGTCCGACCCAGACCCAGCCTGGAGGGGGGCCTCTGTGCGCATGCGCGCCAGGCTCCGTCACGCCTCGCGCCTCGCCACGCCACGCCCTGCCACGCAACGTCCAACGCACACCACCATGACTCCGACGTCCTGACCCGATGAGCGAGGCCACGCCTACGTCACGCCCACTCACGCAAAGTCTACATCAGACCCGGAGTCTTACCCCATAGCACAAGGCCACGCCCCCTACGTCCTGGACGGGCGCCACGCCCATCACACGAGGACACGCCCCCTGCGTCCTGACCTGTCGCCACGCCTCCTCGCTCCAGGCCACGCCCCGTCTCTCCAGCCGACTTTGGTGGTTAAGGCCTGAGTCCTGGATCTCCCCGAGGATCGCAAGAGGGCGCCCGGCGCCCCAGTAGGACCCAGCCCACACCCCCGTTCCTCTCTCCTGGCGGGGCCGCGGTACCCTGGGTCCTAGGGCGCCTTGGGCAGGCTGGATCTCGGGAGAGCGGGGGTTAAACGAAGCTCTGGTGATGCTGGGGCTAAGCGCTCAGCTGCTGCTTCAAAGGTCAGGGGTTCGAACCCACCAGCCGGACTGCAGGAGCCCGAGGCGGCGTCTGCTCCTCTAGAGATCCCAGGCTTGGGGATCCTGCGAGGCAGCAGCCCTCCTCAGAAGGAGGCCCCACCCGGGTCTGCCTGTGTGTGTGTGGACGTGCTGCTGGCCGGCTGTGGTCTGGAAGGCGCGCTGGACATGACTCACTTAACCCGACGGCTCCAGGAAAAGACGGCGGGGCGCACGGGGTGACAGGGCGCCTGGGCGCGCGCTCTGGTGCCATCAGCAGGGACTTTCCCCGCTGGGCAGGCGGGGGATCCAGGATGCGCATGTGGGGCCCAGAGGCTGCTGTTAGGGGCATCTCAGCACTACCAGGGATGCATCTGAATGTCCACCAGAACTTGAAAGTCCAAGGAGTCCGGGGAGTAGACCTTTTAAAGCTCTCCTCTGTCTTCACCTAAAAATGACACAGCAGGGATCTGGTCCCAAGGCCGCCTGGGAAGATGAGTTGTGTCCAAGTGTAGCATCCCTCTTGAATCCTCCCTTAGTGTGTCCCTTCGCCCATCAGACTAGGACAGGGGCGAGGACTTGGAACTACACATCCCTACATACTTGGGCTTTGTCAAGGGGGGGGGGGGTCAGACAATGTAAGAAGACATCATGCTGGGGGGAAAGTGGAGGGTCAGAGAAAGATGTAACAGTGGGTTCAAGTGGATCAGCGATCTGTAGGATGGTGTAGAATAGAGTTCCAATCCGTTGTTCAGAGGGTCACTAGGAGGTTAGGTGACTGAATGGCACCTTACAACAGGGAGCTCTGAGGGCCTGGTCTCAAGGGAGCTGCCTTGCTAACCCAAAGGCATTGTTTCTCTGGCAGCTGGAATCAACCAGCGTCTCCTTGGGAGAAAGATGGGTAGTCTGCTCCTGTGTGATTTACAGGCTCCCAAAACCCCACTGGCCTGCAGTGTGGATCACATCTCTACATCAAGGAAGCGAAAGTCCTCACCACTGGGCCAATGAGCAACGCCACGACAGATGGAGAGAAGAATGAAATTGTCAACAACATCTTGCTCAAATCCACAATCACTATACTTAGTACCAGCAGATCTGGAAAGGTGTAATGTTGGGAAAGTCTACCTCCCAGGACGTCCCCAAGGTTCTGAAGAGCAATGATGTCAGTCTAAAGATTAAGGTGTGTTTGATTCAAGCCATAGTCATCTGCTAATCTTCCGTGATCTGGACAGTGAATAAAGATGATGGGACCAGGAATGGATGCCTTTGAGCTGTTTTATTGGGAATGGGTGTTGAATATGTCAGGGACCACCAAAAGAACAAACAGATACATCTTGTAGAAGGTACAACCAGAGTGCCCCTTGGAGGCAAGGATGGAAAAGCTTCACCTCAGTACTTTGGACGATTCCTTGGGGAGGGGCATCATGCTTGGAAAGGTCAGAGGTCAGTGAAAGAGAGGAAGACCCTTGATCAAGTGGATTGACACAGTGACTGTGGCAATGGGCTCACAGGTATTAAAGATGATGAAGATGGCACAGGATAGGACAGGGTTTAGATCTGTTGTTCAGAGGGTTGCTATGCATCGTACTTGACTCAGTGACACTTTCCAGCAACAAAAACCCACTGGAAGGTCAGCTATAAGTCAGTTCTAACTGGAAGACAATAGAGAAACACGAAATCAGTTCTTCCTCTGCACTTAAGGGTATGCAGCCTCCCACTGCCCTCTAAGCAAGGCCATCCCCTCATTCCCGAGACTCCTAAGTCCATTCTTCCCCAAGCCCTCCAATGCTTTTCCCCTGACTACTTCCTACAAAGAAAGCCTTATTTCATGAAAAACCTTTCCCCTCAAATTGCCACCATTTCTCACTGGCTTCTTTTTCAAGACTTGACTTGAAGCGAGCCCACTAGTTCTTCTCCTTGGACACTACTTCCTCCCTCTCAACCCTCTCAGAATTCTCTGAAGCCCTCATTTTTTCATGTTCAAGCCATGGGCCTGCACCCCTAAAGCGACTTTTGTTGAGTTCAGGCTATTTTGCCACATGCTTTTTTCCCATCCTCACTTCTTCCCAGTCTCCCAAGACAGGAGTCACCACAGACACACCGTCTCTGGTGATTTCAATCCTTGTCTTAATGTCTTTTGCACCCTGCCCCCTCGTTGGCCCTCTTTAAGCCAAAAAAAAAAAAGGAAAGAACCCATCGTCATGGAGTAGATTCCAACCCATAATGACCACACAGGATGGAATAGCATTTCTTCTCCACAGGAGTTCCCAGCTTGTGAGTCTTTCTGG